AGAAGGGTTTGGATAGGTATAATGCCATTTCTGTAGAAAACTCTAGAAATATGTTTGCCTGGAGAGTGGATTTTTGTTATGGGAAAAGTTCTGTGTGCACTTCTTGATAAGTACTATTCCCTGCTTCTCAAGGCCACAAAGAGCTCTTTGTTAGTTCTTACTCCAAGAATTTAATGGGGGTTGAAAGGTAAAAGCCATAAAAATGTGTTGGCTCCTCAAGACTGAGGGTCCCCCAAAAGTCTTTGTTTCACATTAGTATAAACTTGGCTTCCAACAGTAGACAACATTGGTATATTCTGATTTTTGATTGAAGTGTCTTCTGTTTCCAGTAAACAAACCTTGGCTTCATCACTGGATTTATCCACATCATTAGACTTTAAGGTAAGGCTGCCTTGTGACTCAAGAAAAATCACTGAGTATGACTTTTCTTTGTTTATTTTTCTTATTACAAGGATGAAAAGAACAATTACGATATCTTTACCTGTAGATTTTGACATGGAAGTCTATTGAATGATTTTTTAATTAATAGGCCTTGTTTTTTATAGAGACAAAACTCACAAGTACTAGCTTTCCATCAGAGAGAAAAAATGCCTGAGAAAATCCCCTTACAGGAGGGAACAATGATTTGGGCTCAGAGTTTCGGAAGTTTCAGTCCATGGTCGGCTGGTTCCATGCCAGGATATCATCGTGGGATGACACTGTGGAAAAAAAGGTGTTTACCTCGTGGCAACCAGAAGCAGAGAGACAGAAATAAAGCGCCACACTCAAATTTCCTCCTGCTTCATTTTCTGTTCACTTAGGCCCCCACTTCATCAATGGTGCCACCAACACTTGAGGAGGGTCCCCCCTTACTTTGCTGTCCCATATGCTAGCTGCCTTTAAAAACACTTGCAAGATCACACTCACACGTGTGCCTTACTAACTTTCCAGGTTTTTCTCTATCCAATCATGTTGACAATCACAACACATATTGGATTCTACTGTTAACCTTTTTAATTAAGGCTTAATCCCAGGCTTCTAGCTGCTGAGCAAGCCCCATACCACTGAGTTGTACTCTCTGTTTCTTAAACAGTTTTTAAGTATACAGTTCAGTAGCACTAAGTGCACTCACATTACTGGGCAATAGATCTCCGGAATTTTCACCTTGTAAAACTGATAATCTACACCATGGGTACCCAATCTCTTTTACTGGGGCCACGTAAGGCAAAAGGAATTTTATTTGGCTATATATAAAATATATGATGTAGTCAATGATATAAATAATAAAACTTCCTTTTAAAAATGTTTGTTATAATTATAACATTAAAGCAAAGAGGCAACATAAGCATAAATCTAGTGGGATTGTTTAATCTCACTTTGTGAAAGTGGTACACTAATCTCTGGTTCCATTGTCCCCTATGAGGTCCACACAAGAGTATCATGCAATTGAATTATGAAAATTGTCACTAAAATTTTTAACATAAATAAAGTTAAAAGTTTATTACATTCAGGCACACATTAGTAGCCATCCAGGACAGTATGTGGCCTGTGGGCTCCAGATTGTGTATCCCTTCTCTGTCCCCATTACATATAATCATACTCCCAGTTCCCTCTTCCTCACAGTCCATGGTAACATTCTTTTAACTTTAATTTTAATTTCTGTCTCTATGAAATTGACTTCATGAGCTTTTTCATGTAAATAGCACCCTATTGTATTTGTCTTTTTGTATCTTATTTGTCTAAGATTAATGCCCTTAAATTTACTCCGTGCTGTAGAATGTTAGAGAATTCCTCTGCTCTTTAAGACTGAACAACACTGCATATATATTTAAGTATGGAGTGCATTCTGTTTATGTATTCATCCTTTGGTGGACATTCATGTTGTTCTCACCTTCTGGTTATTGTGGCTAATACTATTGTAAACATGCCTGCACAAATATCTCTTTGAAATCTGCTTTCAATCCTTTTGATTATACCCCTAGAAATGAAATTACTAGGTAATTCTATTTTTAATTTTTTGAGAAGTCACCATACGGCTTTCAATAACAGCTGTACCATTTTACATTCTACCCACAATGTCCATGATTTGAATTTGTTCATTACTCACCAATTCTTTTTATTCTCTCTCTCACTATCTCTCTCTGCCTTGCTCCATCTGTTGGTCTCTGTCTCTCTGTCTCTTTGCCTTTCCCTGTCTTCGTCTCTCTGTCTCTCTCTGCACCCCCCCTCCCCGAGTCCTCTCCTGGAATAGCCAGTCTTACCAGTGTGAGCTGCTGATTTGTATTTCCCTAACAATTATCAATATTGTGCACATTCTTATGGCCCTATTGGCGAGAGTTCCCTCACACAGTTTCTCTTAATATTGCATTTCAGTATATGTATAGTATATTTGTTAACATTAGTGAGTCAATATTGATACATTTTTATAAAGTAGATTCCAAAGTTTGTGTCAAAATTAACTCTGTGTTTCACATTCTTTGGGTTTTACAAATGCATAACAATGGGTCTCCACCCTTGTTATATAATACAAAATAGCTTCACTGCCCTCCAAATCCCATATTCCTCCTATTCATTCTCCTCTTTCCAAAACCTCTGACCAACTACTGACCATTCTACTTTCTCCTAGCTTATTTGTCTTTTCCTGAGTGCACTGGAGATGAAGCCCAAAGAAGATATAACCTGCTCAGATGAACTTCATTCATTTAGCAATTCATAATCATATCCACTGCGTGTCCCCCAGGCATCACGTTCTATGCCTTCGAAAAATCCTGTCTTTCCCCAACTCCATGACTCATTTCTTCCTGTGCAGGAATAACATCCAGTTACATAGGTACAGCACAATTTGTTTAATCAATCATAGATTAAAGGACATCTTGGTTGCTTCAAAGTTTCAGCAATTGTAATAAACTTGCTTTAAACTTTCATGTATATGTTTTATGTGATCTTTAAATTTTCAACTCATTTCAGCAAATAGTGGGGAACATGATGGCTGTGTCCTAGGTAACAGTATGTTCTGATTTATGAGAAAATGCCAGACAGACCTGCAAAGTGACTGTGCCATTATGCATTCTCACCAGTAATGTGCGTAAGAGTTTCTGTCATTCTACTTCCTTGTCAGCATTTGGTGGCAGCAGTGTTTTTACTTTAATCTAATAACCTATGAAACTGAACATCTTTTCATATAGATGTTCAGTGAGTTTTCTGCACATTTATTTGGCCCTTTCTTAATTAGTGAGGGTTTTTTTTGGTTTTTTTTTGTTTTTTTTTTTTTCTATTTTGAAGCGTTAGGAATTCTCTGTAGACTTTAGGTGCAAATATCTTCTCTTCATCCATTGCTTGGAGTTTTATTTCTATGTGGAGGATTTTTATCTTAATGAATTGTCAATTTTTTTCTCTTATAGATCCTGCTTCTGTTCCTGTGTCATAGAAATACCAGCCAAAACTAAGCTCACCTAAGCTTTGTGTTTTGTTGTTTCCTATGGACTTTATAATTTTGCATTTTGTACTTAGTTCTCTAGTACATTTTGGATTAACTTTCATATAATATAATTCCTCAGGCCTTTTATCATGTGGATGTCCAAATGTTGCAGCAACAGTGGTTGAAGATTGTTGTATCTTGATCCACCTGCCTTTGCGCCTTGACTGACTTGTTTATGCATGTGTGTGTGTGCCTGTGTGTTTCCACATTTTTATTCTGTTTCTTTGAACTGTTTGTTTATTTTTCATTGATATTCAACTGTGTTATGTATTATAGCACAATAGTAAGTCTTCACAGTGGAGAATGTAGTGTGTGTGTGTGTGTGTGTGTGTGTGTGTGTGTAAGTAACCACGGCCTTCACATTCACACTGAGCTATATCTCCAGCCTTTTTATAATTTTAACTTTTATTTTGAGACAACGTCTTGCTCTTTTGTTAAGTTTCCCAACTTGGGTTCAAACTTGTGACCTTCCTGACTCAGCCTCCCAGAAACCCTAGGATTCAAGGCAGAAGTCACCACACCTGGCCAGTTTTCCTTAAATTTGAATCTTTTCCCCTGGAAAAAAAACATATATCTGCAAGTTTCTATGAGGGCACATATTTGTTGGCAGCATTTAAACAAGAAATAGAGATTACTCCTTCATTCTATCAATTCTCCCAAGTATTGCCACAGTATTAGAACTTGGGACTCTGAGCACCAGCTAGTAATACCAACATAGATGGACCAATAACCTCCACCTACAAATGTTAAAAAAAATCCTTTTACAGTTGCCACACTCCAGGGCTTTTCTGAGGTGCACAACAAGATGCCTAGGGGACACTCAGGTGATATGGCCAGATTACCGATATATTGAGAGAAACAGCAATCGGGTGACCACCTGTCTTTGCCTGTTCAGCTCTGCTCAGATCTGCATGTGGGGAGGGGACCTTTTATCTGGGCACTGCTATCAGGTCCCAGGAGCTGCTCATTTTCTGAAGCCCTGCAAAAGTATCTACACACAATTAACTTTTTCTACTTCAACCTTCAGATGCCACAGCCCCTCCTCTTAGATCCTCTTAGATCTCCAAAGTTATCTGCCTGAAAACTTTCCTTCTCTGATCTATAAAAGCAGATACACACACAAATACACATGCACACCCAAACCTCCTGTCATTGCAATGTAAAGAAATAGATTTTGTGGCTCCAAAATGAGTCATGATCTCTCTGTAAAGTATGACCAATAAAGAGAAGAGGAAATTAATCTCTGGCAGAACATTCTCCCTGATGTATACATTTTTATTTGCTAGTAATCCTCACATAATCCACACTACATATTGAAGAGCTCATCTCTTTCATTTTCTCTGTCTCATGAGCTCCACTCCAGGCTACAAACAGCACTGGTCTTATATTGGTTTTTCATCCCAAGTCCCACTTCCTCATCGAAATTCACACAGAAGAACTAGCCAGGTGCTGAAATGTCCACAGATGGATTTACCTCCAGCCGTGGTAACCATATCACAGAACAGCACAGCCCAGTGCTCTGTTCCATTACAGCAAGGATCACAGGATGTTTGCTTTATAGGCAATTACACACAGAGAGGGGAAGTAGGTGTTTCACCTGTGCACCTTGGAGAGAAAACAATAGTCTGTAGTTCTCTCTTTCAGCCAGAAAGATACTCCCGAGGCCAGTGTCATTCCGGGTAAGTGCTCTTTGTAAGATTCTATATTGGTTCATTCATGAATAAGCAGAGTTCGATAGAAAATGAGCATCTTTTCATGATCACTAAATACTGTACAAACATATTCTTGGCAAAGATAGACTTTATAGTGGAACAACATACAGTATTTCCTCTAAAAAGAAGATGGACATAATTTTCAGATAAGTATTTGGTTCATAACTTTAAATTATATACTCCATGAAAAAACATTTTTCTCTTGCTGCCACAATGAATAGAAAATTTCTCACACTCATTTCTTTTATAGAAAATAAATCTGAGAGATGGTGTATTATGTTTGCTCATAAGAGCTTTGGATCAGCAAAGATTCTGAAAAGTTATCCATCCTCATCTTGAAGAACTGACAATTTTCTATCTTTTTAGCTGTCGCTAGATTCTAAGCAATTTGATAGAGATAAGAGAAACATTTATAGTTCATGCTTTCTCAGGTAGCAATTAAATAGTTGCTGGATCATAACCTTCTCTTGACTCTCTTTGTACTGATCCTCAGTTTGACCATTTCATTTTTCATCACACTATTGAGGAGAGATGCAAAGAAGTAATAAAATTCAGAGTAATCAGTTTTCTTTATATATGTTTTAAAAAGCCTGGGTAGGAATTAAAGTGACTGATTACAAATGGACATTTAGGATCATTTCTGTTTTCTTTAGACCCTGTTCTCTTGCCTTAGTTAATACTTGGCATAATTGAGAGAATATTCCTCATGAGCATAAGCATTCAATAAATATTAATTAAATGAATGAATGCAAAATGGCTGGATATCAGCTTCTCACATCTCACGTTTTTTTGTCTTTATCTCTGTCTGTATTTCTGTCTCTTACACACACACACACACACACACACACACACACACACACACACAGTGGCTGTCAACTTTTTAAAACTTGTACAATGAAAGCAATGAAACATCTTTGATAGAAATGAAAGAAGACCCAAATAAGTAGAAAATATATTATGTTCATAAATTAGAAGATGTAATACTGTTATTATTGAAATAGTCCCCAAGCTAATCTGCATATCTATATATTCAATACAATCCTTATCAAAATCTCAGTTTAACTTTTTAGGACATATTTATAAGCTAATTCTAATTCTCATGTGGAAATGTAAAAAGTCCTAATAGAAAAAATAAAAATATATTTAAAGACAAGAATCAGAAGACTCATGTTTCCATTTGCAAACTCTGTTATAGTGCTACATCATTCAAGACTGTACAGCAATTGCATTATTATAATCAGTGGTATAGATCTAAAAGTCCAGAAATAAATATACATGTTTTAATGGATTAATATTTATCAAATGTTGAGACAATTCAAGGGCAAAAGAAAGCCCTTTTAATGAATGTTGAAACAACTAAATAGCCGTATACAAAAGAAAGATTTTGAGATTCAATTTCATATTGTATGTAAAAAATTAGCCAACATACACTTCAACATATGAATTGAAATTATAAACTCTTAAAAGAAAATCATTTTAAATTACAAATTTTTATGATCTTCACCTAGGGAGTGACTTGCTAGCTATAACATCAATAGAATAAGCTTCTAAAGAAATGATTGATAATTAGATTCAGTCAAAATTAAAATTCTTCAGCTTTCAAGGATAGTATGAACGAGTGAGAAACAACACATAGGGTGGGAAAAATATTTGAACTATATATATTATAAAAATCTTGTATCTGAAATATACAAAGAACATTTATAAGTCATTAATAAAAACAATCCTATAAAAATAGAGAAATGACTAGAATATGCAGATTTTTCTCCAAATAAACACACAAATAATCAGTAGCACATGAAAAAATCATCACTGACCATTATTTAAATGTGTATTAAAATCATGGTGAGATAATGCTTCATAATATTGACAAGGACATAAAAATAAATAAGACTCTCTTGCATCCATGGCAGGAAGCTAAAATGGAACAACCCTCTGAAAAAAGATTATCAGTTTTTTAGATGATTAAACATAGTTACTTAATGAGCCAGAAATGCTACTCCTAGATGTGTACCCAAGAAAACTGAAAACTTTACATATGTGCTGAAACTGGTACATGGTGTTATAGCAGTATTATTTATATTGACCAAAGAACAGAAAAAAATGTCTATCAACAAATGTCTATTAACAAATGAATGGATAAAAAAAATATGTTATAGCCTTACACTAGGGTTTTTGGCCTTAAAAAGAATCAAGCACTGATGTATGCTACAACACAGCTGCACCTTTAGAACATTATAGTAAGTTTAAAAAGTCATACATAAAAAAATATTACATACAGGGCTGGGGATTTAGCTCAGTGGCATAAGCGCCTGCCTTGCAAGCAGGCAGTCGTGAGTTCGATCCCTGGTACTGATAAAAAGGAAAAAGACAAAAAATAATATTAAATGGTCACATTTATATGAAATGTTCAAAATAGATACATTCATAAAGACTAAAAGTAGTTCTGAAAGTGCCCATGGATAGGCCTGTTTCGATGTGGTAGATCCTTTGGGAGATGAGGCCTGCTGAGAGCTTTTAGATTATTGGGGGAATCCTCTTATGGGGAGCTGGTCATCTCCTTGCTTTGTTTTGCTATCTGGCAGTGAAATGAGTGGTTTTATTCCTCTCTGCATTTCTGTGATAATGGGCTACTTCATCAGAGGCCCAAAGTAACAGGGCCAACTGATCATGGACAAGAACTTCCAAAACTATCAGCTGTAATCAACATTTTCTCTTCAAAATTCAGGGTAGTCGGGTATTTGTTAAAATGATGGAAAGTATACTGGCATACAAGAGGTTAAAGGGGAGTAGACAGAGTTGATTGCTAGACTCTGGAATTTCTTTGTGAGAGTGATAAAAATGTTCTAGAATTCAGTAGTAGGAATGTTTGTAAAAATTTGTGAGCACATTAAGCACCATGAATTGTCTACCATCTAAGGTGAATTATATGATGTATGAGTTACGTCTTAACTAGAAAATGAAAACTCTTATTCAGTTTTTCAGTGAACCCTTGCTAGCTCCAAAAGGGAGACTTGAATTTTCAGCTAGACCTCTGAAAGGGTTTAAAACTACTAAATCCTTGGTTAAAATGGTTCCACTGTTATTGAGTGAGTAAGGGTGACAGAAAACAGATGAGCTAGCTGTGACTTCCTTGGGCAGAAATGTTTTTAACAGGCTAGCAGGGATTTTGCTTTCCTCGAATTCAGTAAAATCTGCTAAAACATGAACTGACCTTTGCTATTAAGCTGTAGCTTTTAACCATCAAAGAGCAGAATGAAGGATTAGGGAGGGAGGTTGGATTAGAAAAGCAAACTGATGAAAAGCCTGGATTCTGAAACTAGAACTCTTAGATTTAAATCTCAGCAGAACCACCCCTATCTGGGGGAACCGCTGGTTATTATTTGACCTCTTTGTCCCATACAGTCTTCATTTCTAGACTAGCAATTTTCTGTGCACACTGGTATTTTTATAAAAATTTAATGAGTTGAAATTTATAAAACATTTACTACTGTGGCTCATATACACTAAGCATAACTTAAATGTTTGTTAACTTAGTATGTTGTAAGAAAAATAACAAAGTAAGGTGATGGTGAGCACAGTTGTATAAAATATACATACACACTATAAAGTAGTTATTAAAATAAAACAGCACAAGTTGCTAATTGTTGATCTGCATGGATTTAGCCTATCTTGACTCAAAGCCCTCTCACTCTTTTGCTTCTGTTCTCTATTGGGTACCCACTAATCTCTGGAAATTCCTAAACCTACAACTCCAAATATCCATGCCTCCTTCTGTCTGTGCTAAAGGACAACCCTATCCCTTGCTTCCCTGATATTCTACAGAAAGCATGCATGGAGCTCCCTACATCTGTGCTAAGAGTTGAACAACATCTCCCCAAAATGTACACTGAAGCCCAAACCCCAATGTTTTGATATATGGGTGGCATGTAATTAGTTTTAATTATTTCATGAGAGTGAGGCTATCATAACAAAATTACTGTCCTCATAGAAACAAACATTTGAACACCCTGCCCCCAATCATCCTCCAGTACCTCTAAATGCACGTGCACACACAAACACACACACACACATACACACACACTCACAAAGGGAAACCCATGTGAATGCACAAAACCAAGACCATCTTACAAGTTAAAACAAGAGACCACAGAATAAAGCCTGTTTTGAGAACCAGGGATATAGCTCAGTTGCACAGTACCTGCCTGGCAAGAATGAGGTTGTGGGTTTGATACTCATTGCAAAAAAACGAAAAAACAGCCCTATAGAATAAAGCTGTTTTGTTAACATCTTAATCCTGGACATCCCAGCCTTCCAGATGGCGGGAAATTAATTTCTGGTATTTAAGCAGCCTAGTATATATGCTGTTCCATTATATCTGAATGTGCTGTTAGCATGTGTGGTCTGGTTGGCATGTGTCACTAGGAGTGTGACCTGGAAACCTACATTCTCATCCCAGCCCCTGCCTCTTCACCTCACTTCCTGATCACCAGACAGTAAGGCACTGTCTGCCCCCTGGGCCCTTTCTGCCTTGGAGCCAGCCAACTGTAAGCTAAATCCTCAACAGTCTGAGTCAAAATATCACCCCCTTCCACTACATTGTGCGTGTTTAATATTTCATTCCAGTGATGAGGCAAAAATATAAGGCGCCTTGATTCTGTACAAGATGGTTATGTAGAAAATGAATCTTAGTTCTCAATGGTATATAAGTAAGGTTATTACATTTCTTTTTTGTTTGTTTGCTTGTTTTCTTTATTTCTTATTTTCTTTTTAACACAAATTAGATATAATTCTAAACTCCTATGCTGATGAGATCTCAAAAAAACTTCTACAGGCAACTTTTATCTGTACCCCTCAGATCATGACCTGGTTTCAGATGCATGACACACTCTCACAAAGAGTCTTGAAGATTATTAATGGTTTCTACTCTGTGTTTTCTTAAGTCTGGTATCTTGTGGCAGTGATGA